TTATATGTGACTTTAATAAATTTGTCTAGAATGTAATTCATTCTTCTGCACTGTGCTGTGTCTGTAATTGGCCTTGCGGCTGTTGACTCAGCACATTAACAATTAAGAATTGAATTGAATTATTTTTATTAATTTCGTTATTATTATTATTAATTAAATATTTGTTTCTTTTCACTTCTAAATAACACTTAGTTTTATGATAATGAAATTATTATTATTGTTATTATTATCATTTATTTGCTTGTTTGTTTACTTTTCTTCATTACTGTGTTTTCCCAAGAAATTTCCTGTAATTTATTTTTGACTTATAATGTGTTTGTATAATGTTACACTTAATTACTTTCATCTTCACTGTGCTAAGTCTGTAATTGGCCTTACGGCTGTTGACTTGGCACATAAATAATAAAGAATTGAATTAAATTGAAATTAACATTTCAGTTAAAAACAGTAATCATTAATGTTACTGGTAGTTTGAAATTAAGACTGAAATACTGAATAATGTGCACATGCACACACACGTGAATGGCAATGCGAAGTTAATACTGTCTGTATTGTTCAGAACCCTGGTGTAGCAAAGATTGTTGTATATGCATATATCATAAGAGTCATGGTTGTACATAGGTAATGAAATTTGTATATTTCAAAGTATATTCTATCTACAGAAGTATGTTTATGATAGTAATGTAAAGGAAACAGTATAGGAGATATTAGGGCTCTGTATGAAATGGTGGCCATATCAGACATGCCATTGCTTAATAAACCCATTTACCTTGAAATGGGGGGGGGGGATCAGTGTAGCCAGGATTGTTAAATTGCAAAATCGGTATCACATGCTCATTTTATGCTGCTATGCTAATAATTTATTATAATATAGACTAGTTTGGCAGTGTGGAACCATGGTCCATGTTATATCTAGTCTTCAGTGACAAGACTGTACATTCAAAGTTGGTATGGCTCCTGAAGGGCCAAATAGTAATTGTGGTGTACTTTTAAAAGACTATAAAACACATGGTACTCTACTGAAAAAGTAAAAAAGAAATAGGTTAAAGCATGTAGTGCACTGGAAAATGTACAGCTTCTGACAAGTCTGTCAGTACACATCAGCTGAGAAGTATAAACGTGATTGTAATTTCAGAGGAACATACTGTCTCCAACCTCAGAGTTGAAGAATAAGCCAAGCAAGAAACCAGCAGAAGCAGGTGTCATGTACAGATTCTTTCTTGACTTACTCTTTGATCATGTAGATGGAGATAATAAAAAAAACAGGTAAAGCTATCCCTTTAACAGGCCCATAGGGTTGTGAGATGTCAAGGCTCTCACATTTTCTCTAGACAGTCATCTTGCAGATGGTGGTGAGGTTGTCAGCTTTAGGTGCCAGCTGCCCTTTACCCCCAGGAAGATTCCTGGTACTCATTTCTGTTAGAGGCTGAGTCGATCCCAGGGCCATAGTGTGGCTGGAAGGATTAGGTAAGCTGAGAAAAATCCACCTCATTGGGACTTGAAACTGCGACCTTCCAGCTTGTAGCATAGTGCCCCAGATGGAGGTAATATGTTCCTATAAGAGATCAGGGTTTTTCAAGACTACATGTTACTTCATATTCCCTACCATCAGAACCTCAAATCCAACATATCAGTTGTGTGCCTGTGTGCATATGGATTGATAAAAATAGCACTATGGATGACACACCTGGATTGAAGCTTTTTTGTGTCACAGTTCAGCCTGTGTATAGTTTTCTTATATTAACATGTGTTTATAGTCTCTCTGCTGTAGAAGAGCATTATGTCATGTACAAGTAAACCTTAAGGAGCCCAAAAATGGTTCCTAACACATACTGTGATGAAAATTTGTCATTTAACTGTAAATAAATTTTATAGAAATAAACTTAAGTTTCTTTCCAGGTTTGTACATCACATGTTTCATTTTATGTCTATTTGTGACCTATTTACTGCCTCTCCCTTGAATTATTGTCTTTGGTGTCATGAAGGTTTGAGTGTAGTTTTTTCTTCCTGGAATGCATCCTTTTGTGTTATCTTGTTCTGTACTGTTCTCAAACAGCCTGTCTTTATACTCCAGTCTTTCACTCGACAAAAGACAGAGCATCTTTACAAATATTGTTTCTGGACATTATTGTCCTATCTTTATTTTGCTGTCCAAAAACATAAAATTTTGAATATACAAAACTATAATTTTGCCTGTGGTTCTGTATGGGTGTGGAACTTGGTCTCTGATGTTAATGGAGGAACATAGACAGAGAGTATTTGAGAATGGTGTTCAGAAGAATATTTGGACCAAAGAGAGATGAAGTGGCAGGAGGTTGGAGAAAACTGCATAATGATGAGCTTCATAACTTGTACTCTTCTCCAAGTACAATTAGAACGATCAAGTCAAGGAGGATGAGATGGGCAGGGAATGTAGAACGAATGGGGGAGAAGAGGAATGTATAAAGGATATTGGTGGGAAAACCAAAAGAAGGAGACAACTGGGAAGACCAAGGCATAGGTGGGTGGACAATATTAAAATGGATCTTAGATGGAATGGGATGGTATGGATTGGACCAATCCGGCTCAGGATAGGGACCAGTCTCTTGTGAACACAGTAATGAACCTTCAGGTTCCATAAAATACTGGGAAGTTCTTGAGTAGCTGCACAGTTGGCAGCTTCTCAAGAAGGGCTCAGCTCCATGATTGAGAGTATATTTATCTAAAAACACTGTCCTGTTTATTTTTCAAAACACATTTTGGAGACTGGATTCTGTCTGTCTTCAGGTAAAACCTACTCAGTTGGGCCCAATAGATAGAGCTAGTCTGGAGATAGGGACTAGCTCTATTAATTGGGCCCAACTGAGTACGTTTTACCTGAAGACAGACAGAATCCAGTCTCCAAAACGTAGTTTGAGAAATAAGAGGACAATTGTTTTTAGATGAAGACAGGATAATGGATAGTGTCCAGAAACATAATATTTCTACTAATGGAACATCATCGCTAACTTTTGGATCTTATTTACAGAGCATCTTCATCATTAAGCATAATGGGAAATCTTAAGATGGTGAAGTAGTCTGAAGGCTTTCTTTCATCTTAATGTCTGAGAGAAAACAAATTAATAACTAAATAAAATGAATGAATTTGTAAAGAAAAGGATAAAACATACAGTTCATAATACACATAACATGTATTTTGATGCATAACTTACATATGCGATACCTGGAAGAGAGCTACATTACAACTAAATAAATTACATTTTGACACTCCAAAACCGCAATGTATGCATTCATAATGCCTTTAAGTATTCCTATATTTCAGATCCAAGAAACAATTATATACGGGGTCACACAATATGCCATAACATTTTAAAGCCAAAGTACATAATGAGAGAGTTGCAAAGTGGAGTATTTTTGGCATATTATTACCAACAAATAAAACCAAATGAAGTAATAAAACTGTATTTATATATACACCAAGTTAACCTCAACCCAACTTTAATATAAACATAAGATATTGTAACGTGTCTGCTTAACAATGAACCACTACATACTTCAAGAGATGATAAGATATTGTAGCGTGTTTTGTGTGTCACGCTACAAATAAAACTACCAACAAGATTTTCACTTCTGCGTAAGAAGAAATACCAGAACACTTGCTCTTTAACGTCTTGGGATGGATGATTTTTATGATCTTATTTGCAGTGCTGAGAAAGCGAGCTTGGAAATGTGGTAGGATTGCTCTTGTTCAGTAAACGGGGAAAGTGGACACAGCTGTTCTATAGAACAATGGATGAAGTGGTGGGAGCTTCAGAAATGGAATCTATCACTTCCCTGGATTCCAGTATTCACATTGATCAGGGCTTCTGCTCTTGGCTGACAGCCATATTTAAAATAATGGATGAGAACATCCTGATGAAGTGCGGGCCTGTTGCAGTGAAGCACCTCTCATTCCAGTGCCACATCATCATCTATATGCTTATCGTGATGATCATTTCCCTTACTATGGTGCCACCCATCAACTTTCAAGGTGATTTGGAAGGAAATGAAAAGACATTTGGTCACACAACACTTCGCAATCTTAATCCTAGCTCTTAATACCTCTGGACACATGTGACACTGGCAATCCTATACTTACCTCTGGGAATCACTGTTATGCGTAGGTTCTCTAGTTTGATAAAAGAGATACAAGTGTCTCTAGAACTTTGATGATTACACAGATTCCAAGCATGGACTGATTCAGCCAATTTACATCGGTATTTCAGATGAGTCAGTTAATGAAGACTAAAATGAGTACTTACAAATTATTTATTTTTCCTTTGAATAATAAATAGTTCTTCCAGCATTCAGTTTGTTTAGTTTGTAGCATTAATTTTATTTATTTGTGGTCATATTTTGTGTTTTCACTTCTGGATGATGGCTGTCATATTATGATGGGATAGCTTCAGGGCTTGAGGTGGGGCGGGATGGCATCCCGGTTCTTTTCTAAATGGCTTAAAAGCACCCCGTTACTTCTTTGGCAGTAAATGCATGGTACAATACCCAGGGCTTGAGGTGGGGCGGGATGCGGTGGGATAGCATCCCGGTTCTATTTTCATTCCACCTCAAGCACTGGATAGCTTACCAACTTTTTAGAAATGTGTGATGTGTTATATTACATCCATGGCTGCACAACGGCTACAATGGGAACACATACTTCCATGACAACAAATACATAGAAAATGTCGAGTTCCCACAGCCACAAATCGAATACCAACAGATCATTGTGTAGGAACTGCCAAAACAACAAACGCATCTCCCCAGAGATGAAAGAAAACAGAAGGGTTGTTGAATGACAACAGCAAAACCAAACTGTCGAGAATGGTGTTCCGGAAGCAGTCCACAAAAGGCCTACATAAGGGAGCTGTAGTGTAAAAGTGAGCGATCAATAAACATATTCCTTCTGATCCGAAGACCCACACTATTTATTCATGTTGCGTCACACAACCAACACGTTACAATATATATAATTATGATATAACTTGTGCAATTTTATTATCAGAGTATCTCTAGCCCTTTTGTAACTACTACTAAACATTCTTCGCATTTTATGAATGGGACTTATTGAAAAAAAAAGATGTCTTACCCCTCAATCAATTACACATCACAGAAGTAATCATAGCGGTCCTTTATTGACCTTTCATTCCCTCAGCAGTGCCAGACCACTGGCCAAAACTGTATTCCAACAGACCAATAACAACCTAAATGATAAATACTATGCCAATTGTGTCACTTGCTCATGACATTCACACAATTTCATCCATTCGCTACTTGCAACAGGTTTACCACTACAATTAAGTATCTGGCAGGAAGGGTATGTGGCAGAGGTGGCCAAACTGAAACTTGTGAACCACATGTGTAACTCTAGGACCAAAACAAACTTAATTTTTTTATTTTCTCAACAAAAAACATAAACAGTATTTAGATCTTAATCTGGGGTTAAATTCACTTGCATTAACTTAAGAGCTGTGTATTATTCGTGTCTAACTCTTTCATACTGTAGCTTTCAGTTTAATATAAAAAACAGAGACATATTCCACAATTCAGCATGAAGTTATTTGAAAAAAATTATGAAAGTTCAACATTTTCTAAACAACTGCTTGTTACTGGAGCCAGTGGAAGATATAATCATTAAGAAAGAAGAAGAGTACAGGGGCAAAAAAAACTTGTGTTCAGAATGATCTTAAAATATTTTACCACAGTTTCTTAAAAACTGAACTTCAGATTTTAAAATACATCTGTGGAAGACAAGAAGTCTGTCCACCCCTGTAAAAGGTAAGGTTGGGATAGAGTAGCAGCCTCAGTCTGTGTTGAGTGCCATCAAATCATGGTTGCCAACTATCCTATTCTACTCCATCACTATCCACTTAAAACAGATTATGCCACAAAGCCAACCAGCATTTACAATCAATAATAAACAACAGCCATGAAGATTTAACTGGGATTAAATATTACAGACATGTATCTGTACGTAGGTATGTTATAAGCAGCGCTACAGAATAATCCCATTTAACAGGAATGACAAAACAAAAATATTATAATTGGATATAGGAAATGGACCTCTACCAATTAAGAAACTGATAAAAACCACTGACTATAATTTTCACTAACCTGACATGTCAAAGACATCTAAAGCTACAGCCCATATGTAGAACCCTGTGTATACTTTCAAGAGAGTTGGCAACCATTATGCACCTGGTATTATCCTGCAGTATATATTACAGTGGTATATTGTGTAAGAGGATAATTAGCCTCAGCTGTACTGATGCTTAGTGCCAAACACTGGGAGTTCTGATGAGATATAGCATCTGGCAAGAGGGTATGAAACTGCCATATATTATTGTTCTCATTCTAATGCTGGATGCTCGACTGACTGCTACTACTGCCACTTGACGATTTGTGACGCCTGTGGTCATAATTAACTAGCCTACGTCCCACCAGGTACTTGTCATTCTTGATGTGTTCGTACAGCTTGCGAAATTGACGGATCTGAAACACGATGACACCAACCACAAGCATGATGAGAAGCAGAAATGGATACAGCCTCCGTGCTATGAGATTCCGCAGGTGTGGACTGGCGACCACAAAGGGGATGATACCATATGCTGTGGCATATGGGACGGCAAGAGCCAGACCAAAACAGGCCACCACTGGTGCAGCTAACTCACGAAGCACAAATGCCAGATCCATGCCACGAATTCCATCTCGATATGCTCTCTCAATAGCACGTCGGAGTGCCCACTCAGGACCCATCATGGTTACTGCACAGGCTATTTTGGTGTACAGGACACCCAGGGCCCAGTCCTGCCACACGAACAGCACCGGAGTCTGGTCAAGAGGCACGCGCAGTGGGACCACAACCACCAACTCCAGGAGAAGTCCAAAGAGGAGAGGAACCACTCCAAGAAGCACTGAGAAGGCAACCGCTGATTTGGCACCCAAAACACACCATTGGCGTAAACGGGCAAGAATGGCGGCCCTGCCCTGGGGCAACCAGCTAAGCATCAAGGCAATTGCACGAGCTGCAAGCCAACACAAATAGGTCCCACACGCTGCTGTATACAGTTCATGCACTCGGCCACCAACAGAGATACCATCGCTGCTTGTCCCACCCACAGCAGATGCTACTGTGGCAACAACAGGTGGAGCAGGGGGAGGAGCTCCAACAAGCCAGAGAGCCATGACGCGACGTCCCAACCAGACAGGCAGTGTAAGAGCAGCCAAGCTAGCAAACACAAGTGTCACACATACAGCTAGCAACAGACCCACTAAACGAGCAGGGAACCACCGTGGACGTTCATATGGCTGGAATCCTATTGGTCCCTCCCGCTGCAAGAGAGCCTGATGTGCTGCACCAAGACCTCCCACACCTCCACCGCCATGATCGTTGTTGACGGGGTGCTGATGATGGGCCTGAGCACCTTGAGGGGCCCCAGCAGCATCTGCAGGCCCCTGCTCTCCTCCTTCATCACCAAGAAGGTATGAATGCAAGTCTAAAAGCCAGGCCACAGCTCGACACCAAGTGCGCACTAAGCTTTTTAGCCAAGTTCTTGTATGTGACTGCTCCAACAATGCAGGAAGTATCACCTATGGCCAAAAGGGAGATTCATATTACTTACCTCACAATACAAAATCTGAAATGATACTGCCACATGTATTTTGTGGCCAAGTCCCAATCCTACAAAACATAAACTTCTTATTTATAGTTCATTGGGGAACAACAAAATATGAATACCAAAATCAGGAAATCCTTAAAGGGGAAAGTAAACTGTGACCATAAAAACTAAATCCCAAATAAAGGGAAATAATTAATATAAAGTCAACTGTAGGTACAATTTCCTTACATCTTCCTATGTAAAAACAAATTAAAGGCATGAAGCACCACACTATCAAGACACGGGCAAATGAAGGCATAGCTCCACATACTCTTAACTAAGGATTAATTTGAAAAAAAAGCTTCAGGAAAGAGTCCTTGTTGCCCACTGGACTTGGTGGGCCTGCAAGCTGGATTGGATACTGTGAAGAAGGAAACAATCTCTTGCTCTTGCTGGGAACTGAACCCCAACTGCTTGGTCATCCAGCCCATAGCCTAATCATTGTACTCACTGAGGTATCCTGGCTCATAAAACTGAAATTAGTTCCATCAAAATCATAAGTAGATTCTTGGTTAATACAAATGAAATAAGCAGAGGAAACCGAGAATATGCAATTCAGAAATAACTAACACCCGACATGCTGCTCCATGACCTTAAGTCTTATGTTAAGCAATTCTGTTATCTGTAAAATATTCTTTACCTGAAGCAGCAGAAGTTCAAGTGACAGCTCATTAACCTGTGCCTCACTCTGTAATGCTACAGTGTATGGCAGGAAACTGGGCCACACGACTCGCAAGATTCGAACAGGCAGCCACAGCATCAGCAGCACAGCTGTTCCAAAGATGACTGCAGATGCTAGCAGTCGTCTTACATGTCGCACTATTGGAAGATGGATCATTTCCTGCAAATGGATAGTTTTTTGTATAGAAATCAGTGGACTACATAAAATGAGATGGACAAAAGTTCAAAGAAACTAATAATAACTTTCAAATACAACCCCACAGTTTAATAGCATACATTACCATGTTAATATTGTGGCATATTTGTTAAAAGTAAGAACTGTGGAGGCAAAGAAACAGCTGTTGCTAGGTAATGGCCCATACACACGCAGCAGAAAAGTCGTGTAAGCTGTGACATTATACAACAATAGGTGTAACAAGCAGCAACTTCATAGGTTCTCATTATACGAGGGGGTACCCAAAAGAAACCGAACTTATTTTTTTTTAAACTTATTTATTCAAATTTTAAGCACAAACCTTCAATCCCCTTCAAAGTACTCTCCACTTACACTAATACACTTGTCTAGTCTTTTATTCCATTTTTCAAAACATTGTCTAAATTCATCTTTTGAGATGCTCGACAGCNAAAATTCGCTGAACTGAGCTCCAAGTCACTCCCGACAGCTCCACAATTTCTTCAATGGTCCAACGTCGATCTTCCTTGATGATTTTACGAATTTTTTCAACATTTTCATGTGTTCGGGCCATTGCAAAAACGACGATCACACAAAACAGTTGTCACTATAAACTCTGCCAAAACTAGTCCTTACCTTCTGAAGCAACGGTAGTCGGCTTATCGACTCAGGAATGTTAGCTCTATGCGCTCATAGCAGCAAAACGCGGTACTACAAAAGCTCTGCCCACAAAAAAATTAGTTCAGTTTCTTTTGGGTACCCCATCGTACACCTCAGCAGAGACTACACAAAAAAAACAGCACTTCCAACAGTTCTATATTGTATCTGTTGCCACAGACATGTGTTTACCATGCCACTGCCTAGCAATGGCTGCATATACCTGTCCCACTGTTCTCAATTTCCAGTTATTGTATTACAAACCTGAATTGGGCTGAAGTCAGGATCATTTAAATTTCTCAGGAACCAAAGTACACCAGGTCTCAACACTTCTCTAAGAAGCAAGATGAATGATGCAAAGTAGTACACATATACCATCCCAACAAGCCAATGTATGAACATGGAAGTGCCAGGAGCGAGGCGAAAACTCGACTCTCGATCTCGAAGGGTTGCATCAAACATTGACAAGGAACAGATATCCAGCCACCAACCACAAATTAATGGTAGGACACCTATTTCAACTACTGACAGTAAGGACACCTGAGAAAGGAAACATATTATTTCAGTATTCTCAAATAATCACAGGTAATAAGAGACATCTCACAACTCAAGCCATTCCACCTGTACTTGGGGAAAGGCAGGACTTCCATTCAATTTATTCAAGTCTGATTCCACTGTACTTGGAGAAAGGCAGGACTTCCATTCAATTTATTCAAGTCTGATTCCACCTGTACTTGGAGAAAGGCAGGACTTCCATTCAATTTATTCAAGTCTGATTCCACCTGTACTTGAAGAAACGCAGGACTTCTATACTATACTGTCAAAATGATAGTATACCTCTGCTTTTATGACATGCATCTGAAATCTTTTCGAAACATTCTGCTTGCATCTTGTCAATTGCTTCCATACAAAGAATTTTTGTATAATACTGAAACAAGATTAGAATAAATTTTATTTCTACAGAAATTTACTTTCTTGGTTCTTCTGCCCTGACAGAAATGTTTATGAAAAGCCTAGAAACATAACATATGTCTGATAAACAGTGAATTAATCCAACTTAACCTTCTTCTAATTGAAGTACATTACCAAACTGGGTTCATCATAAACCCAGAACGTTTCTAAGTTCTGCCAATAGAGAAATGTATCTGTGTAACCCCCAGAAACATCCGATAGACTGGAGAGTTTGCGTGCTACAGCACAAAACTAAAGAAGTTATCTGAAAATCCAATAAGTCTGAGTCTCAAAAATCACTGTTTTAATTGAGTGAGAATTTTTCTTTGTTCCTAATGGATGTTCAGAAATTCATATCTTTACATTAAGATAAGCAAATAATTTCAGAAATATTACATAATTCATATGTGGAAAATATATTTCACTGCTTCCAAAGCAAATACAAAGAGACAGATGAAAGTTTCTGGAAACTTAATACAATATCATCTTACCTTCACCACTACATAACAAAGCCCAAGAACTCTCTTGGCACCTCGTAAACCAAGATGTGAAGCCAAACCATGTAGCAGGACAAGGCAGAGTCCAATGACACAATACCCACATAAAGTGGTAACAAGACCTTCAAAGTGAGATGCCGCCGCATGCTCTCGCAAACTGAAACCCACCACAGCGAAGTGTCCGATATGGTATGGACAGAATGCAAACACCAAAACGAAGAGGGTGTTTAATGAGATAACCCAGAACACATGTTCAAGAAATACAAGTGAACCATCCAATCCAAGCAGGCGTTCCCAAGTCAGCTCCTCTGCAGCTCGATCCCACTCTATTGGGTTCCAATTGCCTTCATCAGCTGCTCCTCCATTGTCTCCGGCACCACCTCCATTTTCATCTGCATCTGCTACAGCAGCATTTTCAAGAGGGTCCACTCCATCCAGGTCTCCACCAATGACAGGAGGTGGCAAAACACCTCCTGCTAAAGCAGCCACAACTGGACGTTGCTCCTGTAACATACAAATCTCTATTCATTATGTTCAGGGCCTCAGGGCTAACAGTTTGCTGATCAGTAAGGCTACTCCTGAAGGCAACAATGTTATGACAAATGTCACCACGTGCTATCTTCCTGGCCTCTGGTTAATTACAAAAGTGAAGGAATTCATTTCATGTAGGCTCTGAGGTTCCCACGGGTAATTATGAAGAATAATATCATCTGTGAAGTAATGCCATGCAGTATGACATTTCAGAAGAACATGTTGCCTCCATCTTCAGGATCAAAAGAGTAAGCCAAGCAAGTAATCAGCAAGAAACTGCCAGCAAGTACAACTCTGTTCTTTGGCCCTGAAGATGGAGGCGGCACATTCCTCTAAAACACCGGTGAACTTCTTCCAGACTTCACAGTGTTATATCCCAGAATACAGTACTTTTTGAATTTATTTCCATTCTCACTATCTGTATAATGAGGGACTTCCTAATTTGTGCTCCTCACCAAATATTATTAGGGATATTCAAATAAAGGAGGGTGAGTCTGGTACGGCATTTAGTACATGTGGGAGAGATGAGAAATGTGTTTGAATTTTTGATGGGAAAACCTGAAGTGAAAATATCACTTGGAAGACCTAGGATAGATGGAAGGATAATAATAGTGACATGTGGGCCATTCTAGGAAATGAATAGACAAACACATTGCCACAAAAGGACTGATTCCCAGAAACCAATTATGAAACATGGTTTCCGTGGATATGGACCCTGAAGGCTATAGACACTGTAGACATTGTTGCTTGGGAATGAATATAGGGTTACCAAGGAAACACATTCGTGAAACACAGTAGTGGCTGTGACTCACAGTGAATTCAATAATACTGGAAATATTAGCAAGTAATTCTAACTGCAGGTCGAAAAGTTGTCAGGTGACTACCACTTATTGGCTACCAAGCAGCTCGGATCATTTATCGTTTTCAAGGTATCACATACACAAAATTGGACTTGTCTATCATATATATCATGTACACTTATGAAGGACTGAATTATCACCTGTATATTTATGCATCTTCGTTGTATGCATGTTGTTGTGTATCGTAATTAACGCGAAAAGGTTTGGCTGTCAATGCAACATGTAATAGCCATTAAAATAAACTAATTGTTGAGGGTTACCTTGGTTTATTTAATTAAATATTGTTGTGTTGATGGTCAAACTTTTTTCTGTTAATATTTATGCATATTAATCATGGACAATGCAGATTTACCCTCCTGAAATCCAAATCCATGTCCAGGCCATCAGAGGGGAATAACATTCAAGCAAAGCCTGTCATGGAGAGGTACAGCAGGGATCCAGTAACTAAGAAAATGTAACAAGACCTGGAAATAAATGACTATGAGGGCTGTGGTGAAGTTATGACAGGCTTAGCAAGCCAACAGCAGATTCTGAAATTCACTTCAACAAACAACTTAGCCACGATGGAGGCTGTGCCATAGCTCTAGCGGTTAGTCGTTGGCTTCCCACCGTGGCAGCCTGGGTTCGATCAAATGGGATTTGTGGTGGACAAAGTGGCACTGAGGCAGGTTTTCTCCAAGGACTTTGGTTTCCCCTGCCAATCTTCAGTCCACCAATTGCTACACAATCACCCTCACCTATCATCTTGGGCTGGTACAATAGGCCAGAAGTGGTGACAGTACAAGGGACTTAGTCCCATACCACTAGCAAAAAAAAAAAAAAAAAGCCACGATGGAACTCAGAAGATACAAGTTACCAATGTTAAAGGTTTGAGAGAAAAATGTTTAGATTGCTTAAAGAAAATTTGAAATGCTGAAGGTAGAAGCACATTGTAGAGTTCTAGCACCTGAGATATAACGCCATGTAGTCCACTGAAAGTAAACTGACATTTCAGAGCTCTGCTTGTTACCTGCTTCACACTGGTTTCTTACTTGGATTATTCTTTGACCCTGAAGATGGAGGCATAATGTTCCTCTGAAACGTTTCTTGAATTTCAGTGGACTATGTGACATTATATCCAAGAAGACAGAACTCTTTATAACCACCGCCATGAGAACATCAGATCCTACAACAAGACTGTGGATCTGCTTACCTGATCCATTCCTTGCTGCAAGTCAGGTTCCAATACATTATTATTATCAGGTGGAGGTGGCTGAGCTGGGGGGGCAAGAACGTCCCCCGCTGGTGGAGGAACATTGTTATTATCTCTCTCAAGCCAATCAGGACCACCACCATGCAAAATCTGTTCCCGCAACCACACCAGACCAATGAATGCAAACAACGTGCAAGTCACTACAAAACATCCATGAAACACATCTGACGGGATGTTTTCCGTAGATAGTATGTCCAGTGGCAGAATCAAAACCTGCAATACATAACATACTCAGTGAAGTTTCACATGGTTTTCCTCAGCTCCTGTGGGAAAAGGGACTATAATCCTGACTTAGTCATATACATTATTTAACCAAACATAAGATGACTCCCTCTTGAAATTTTAAATTTACAGAAAAGACATATTTCTATCAATACTACAACTGACCAGGTTTGAATTTCACCAAGGGTTTGAATTCTGGAGTTAAATTTATACAACAGTTTTCAAATATTTGTGTGAATACTAAAAACATTAATACCATCATTTTTTAAGTTATGTGCCAGTAAGACAACTCTCATTTGTTCATATGCCAAGTATGAAAGAAACCTCATCTTACATTTGGGTAGATACAACAGTACCAACATTGTTTCCCATTTTACATTACATATATTTTACAGTCCATCACAGCAGTTAAATAAGACATGAGAGTAATGCATCTCTCTGCTTAATGCCATGATATTTGGACATATTTTAATATTTCAACAGATCCAACTATAGCAAAAGTTATGTTGCATGACGTTAATTCCTGTAATTTAATTCACATGATGCTATATGTGTGCTATGGATAAACAAACATGAATTTTACCAGACATTTAGCAGCCTCCGTAGTCTAGGGGTAATGTTCCCACCTCATGACTCAAGGTACGCAGATTCAAACCCGGCAGAGGTCATGGAATTTTTAAGGGCGGGAAAATTCAGGGAACAAGTCCTCCGGGAGGGACTTTAAGCCGTGTGTCCTGTGTTGTAGATTTACAGCATGTAAAAGATCCTCATGTCTCTAGGAGACCTCTGAGCAAAATTAGGCAAAGTTTCCTGCCCAAATAGTTTCCAATTCCTCTGGTAGATGGGGAAGTATTGGGTACCACTGATAGCGAGCACCAGTACTGGAAGGGCATGGCGATGGTAGAAATTAAAGGGGGATGCACAATAGATCAACAACAGGTCGCAGTGCATGGGGAAACCCACCCCCTCCAAAATTAATAATAATAATAATAATAATAATAATAATAATTCAATTCTTTATTATTTATGTGCCGAGTCAACAGCCGCAAGGCCAATTACAGACAGAGCACAGTGCAGATGAAAGTAATTACAATATAGACAAACTTATTAAAGTCAAATACAAATTACAGGTAAGTACATGGAAGAAACAATAATGAAGGAAAGTAAACAAACAAACAAACAAACAAATAAATGATCATTATAACAGTAGTAATAATTTCATTATCATTAAACTAAGTGTTATTAAGAACTGAGTAATGAAACATTAATATTTAATTAAGAAATTAATAGTATAGATTTTCAGAGAATGATAATAATAATTCATTTTGTTTTATTGGACATGCAAATAATAAAAATACTAGCCGTTATACTATATTTAAAATTTGTTTGGGTAGAACATTACTGGCTCCGAATACGTCAACCTCCCTGCAGACAACATTAGCAGCTGCTGCGCATCTAGCAGAGGGACAATTTTTAAAGAAGGAGCAAACATTGAACAATGCAAAATCTCTGATATACCGAGCAGGAACTCGGAGACCAACAATTTCCAGGACAGAAGGGCAGAATTTTGAGCCAAAATAAACTTGAATAAGAAAGAGAGCATCAAGGCGATGTCTCCTAGTACGTAAAGTATGCAATTTTAACTCATCAAGAGCAAGAGAATAATTGTAATGAACAAGAGGAAAGAAACGTTTAAAACAAAGGGCCGCAAACCTCTGCTGGATGCGTTCCACCTTGTTGGCATCAGTTGACGTAATCAAATTCCAGACTACGGACGCATATTCAAGCTTAGATCTAACTAACGTAGTGTACAATCTGAGCATAGAGTCTAGCGAATAGTAATAATAACCAGACATTTGGTGACACGTGCATGCGTGTGCGTGTCGAAAGAGTGGCCAAAGAACACAGTCAACACACTGTGAAGTTTGTAGGATATATAAAGACACGCCTTTAACACTTTGCGGACCAGTAATTTAAATATTTAAATCACCATGGGGACCGGCATTTTTAAACCTACTACCCTAACTTGTGCACTGTTCACTTTAAAAATTAATATAAAATCTCATAATTAATTATATGAACTAAAATTTTTGGAGAACACTTACCAGTGTTCCTAGAAGTGCTTGAGAGTGTGATATTCCTGGAAACATTCCGCTTTGTGAAGTGGCATTACACAGAACTTGCAAATGTAGGCAGTCATGCTCCTTTTTCTGTGAACTGTGCAAACACGACATTGCCTAGAAGGATGCTTCCCCTTGGAATGCTCACTCTTCAC